TTTTTTTTTTTTTTTGCTTTTAACTTATCCATTTTTAAGCTTGTTCAGTGAACAACATATTTTAGTATCAGTACTGTTACTGTGATTGTAAACGTTTAGTTATGCTGTCATATTCAACCAAATAAAAATTTACTTTTTAAAAAAACTATCTTTTATAATTAGTGCCTAAACTTTTTAATGCTTATAAATTAACTGTTGCTTAACTCCTCTGTTATAGTCGATTTAAATTCTTTTATTGCACTAACGTCGTATTACTGTGAGCTACAAATATTCAGTGTTTCAAAAAGATCAAATTAAACTTGCTTTTTGTATGGTCTCTGATTTGTTGACAAATTTTAAAGTAGTTTTTGAAAAAAAACAAATAAAACATTTATGTAATAAGCAAATAAACTTTACTGATTTGATACTTCAATATTACCTAATTTTTTTCTTTTTTTTTGTGTTACCGCTGTTTTTCAATGTTAGCCTGATCTACGTAACGTACTAAAGAAAAAGTTGTTTTTTTTTCGTTTTGAACTATGATTTAGAGTTTAAGTAAGGTGAATAATAAACGAAGAAAAACTTTCAGTTTTGCTTAGCTGTTTACAGAAAAAGAATAACTGTATAAGAAATCTACTGTCGATTATTTACTGATCGATAATAACTTATGTGCAAAAAGAATGGTGAAAATGTTGTTTTGTATTTAATTTCAGAATGAAGCTTTTGTTCATTCTCTTTGTAACCATTTTCGTAGAAATAACACATGGATGGTACTATGGTAGACCGGAACCTGGAGCTACTACCGTGTCAGTACAAGAAACAGGCTTTTTTTCTACCTTTATTTACAAGTCGAAATCATAATCTCAATCAATCACTTCAACGATCTCAACATCTGTTTTCCAATAATACCTAAAATGTATTATTAAAAAAGAAACAGCAAAATAAGTTTGTTAACTTGTAGCAAAAAGTATTTTTGTTTCAAATACTATCATTTGAATTTATTTTTAAATCTTTGCTCCACTGATATGAAGTGACCAAGTTCTTTGCTTCTTGTATTAGTAATTATTATTTAAATTGACAATTACCTGACAAAAATGTCTTTTTTTAAGGCTAAAATATCAATAAATAAATCTTAAGTAATACGCTTATCAGTGTCTTCAAA